GCAACAGCACCCTACACTCCACAGCCTCCCCATGAGGCCCCGAGAAGGGATCTGGGGATGGATGGTCATCAGGACGTCCCATGCGCCAGGGGCCCCCGAGTGATGGGGAACAGTTCTGAATTTGCATCCTTCCTCGCACCTCCCACTCTCTGCCCCAGTCACACCGGACCCCTCACCCCCCACCCCGACGCCCAGCTGGCCCACTGCTTTCCCCACTTCGGGATCTCCCCTTCTCTATGGAGCCCCCCATCTCCCCCACGAGCTCTGAGCCCTGGGGGGCTCTGTCAGGGGCACCTGTGGCTCCATGCCCTCAACTACATCACCCCTGCGAGCTTACATGTCTCCTGCCCTCACCCCTCGGGTGGGGACACGGCATTCGCCTCTGCATGAGGAGCACGCAACACAGAAGCGGTTGGTAATTCATGAATTCACACAACCAACCGAGAGAGCAAAGTCTGAATGTCCCCAAACATGGAAGGAGAGAACGCGGCAGGGAAGGGGTGACCCTTCCCTAGGTGCCTGGACATGGATTCCTCAGCAGCCAAGATGCACCTGCTCCCTCAGGGTGGGACCCTGGGCCTGGCCCTACCTCCCCACCAGGTGACAGACATAAACCCAGGGAGTCCCACTCCTCACGGATCCCCCCTCCTGACCTCCCAGTGACGTGCCGTTAGCGCCCCAGGCCAGGCAGTGCCTGCCGCGCCGACCGTACCCCGTCCTGCCCCCACCCTGCTGGCTGGAGCTCCCCCCGCCCCGACTCCCTTTCTGGGTCAGGACAGGCACTGAGTTCTCACAGAGGAAACCAGGTCCCTGCTCCTCTGGGGAAGCCAAGCTTTGGTCCCCATGGGCCCAGGAAGCAGGGAGAGGGCTCACAGAGGTGGACAGAGACTGAAGCCAGAGGGGCACCACGGCACCCCTTCACCCCCACAAGCCTGACAATATGGGAGCCTCATCCCCTGGAAGGGCTGTGCATGGCTAGGTGGATTCCCACCACCCCAGAACCTTCCAGGACCCCGTGGAAGGGGGCGCGGTCTCTGACTTCTGGCCTGTGGCTCCCCTCAAAAGGTTCTATTCTGTGAGCAAACCTGCTCTGGGATCTGAGGCCCCTGTCTCGGGCTGGCCTTCCTTCCTGGGTGCTCACAGAGGGGCAGGCGCTACTCAGGGGGGCACAGACTGGCAATATTGATGTCACCTTCTACCAGAGGGGCCATAGGCACAGGCTCGAAGCTGGCCCGGCGGCCCCACACCTGGGCCTTCCTCGGATGGCCAAGCCCCCACCCTGCGGGCTGCTGGCCCGCGTGCCGTCTTATCCACCCGAAAACCCAAACACCTGCATGGCCTCAGCTTCCCGTGGCCGGGTTCAGGGAAATGAAGGTGCCTTGCGTACCAGACTCTGCCGAGCCCCTGCCAGGTTCTGCCAGAAGGCTCAGGCTCAGAGGGAGGCCACCAGCCAACCACGGGCTGCATGAATCTCCCCTACACTCAAAAGCACGAGCCCTCCCCACCATGCTGAGCTAAACCCACCCAAGAGGTGAGCCCTTGATAAGAGGGTGACCAGAATGTTTCCTCGTGCCGATGAGGCCAGGGCAGCCGGCTGGGTCACGGGAGGGGTCCTGGGCAAGGGGGCCGCGGTTCTTAGGGACCTGGACGAGCCACGCCAGTGGGCCCCTACAGGGCGCCACCGTGGGCACCTGAACCTGGATTAACAGGTGCCGCAAGTACCTGGGTTCTCATCTCTGTGGACCTTCTACCTCCCTGCCTGGCACTCAGGTCAGCTGGTTGTGGAAGGCCAGCTCCGTGGAGGACGCCGACCCTGCCCACAGCACAGAGCCCAGCCAGGGAGGGAGCCAGGCAGGGACTGGGGCAGCTGGGGAGAAGTCGGTGCCCCACCGCAGTCTTCCAGTCTGCACCTGAGGGTTTGGCCACACTGATGCGCCCACCGTATTCCTGGCTGGGGTTTCTGGGGCCTCAGCTCGGCGTTCAGGCAAATGGGCTCTGCCTGACTCTGGTGCTAAGTGCCCAGCATTCCCCACCGGCAGAGAGGCAGAACGCGGGGGACAAGGTGGGGGTGCGGAGCCAGAGGACAAATCCTCCTCACGTCAGCAGGCTGTCTCCCTCTACTGGGCCGATGTGATTTTCTTTGCCTGGACAGTGACACCTGACCCCCTCCAGTGCCTGCCCAACGGGCCAGAGGGTCTTTCTGACAACCCAGAGCAGCAAACGCTTCTGGGGAGCCCCCTGTGAGCCAGACACAGCCTCAGAACGTGCAGTGGACGGTTATCAAATTCAACTTACTCCTCCTCCCAAACTACCAGCCCCACTCCTCATAGGAGGAAACCTGGCACAGAACGGTCAGGCGCGGTGCGGGTACACGGCGGGGACGAGCAGAGCTGGGGCAGCTACCCACAGAGACAGAATCCGTAGATGGAGGGGCGTGCAGGGGCAGGGCCTTTCCCTCCACTGCCTGGGGCCTCCTAACCCCACCCCGGGTTCTCCGAGATTCAGTAAGGGCTCTCGGGGCACCCTGGGGCACCCTGAGTGTGGCAGCCGGTTTCCCCCTTGCAAGGGCCCCATGCGTCGTGCCCAGCCAGGGTCCGCCTGCCCCAGGAAGGGGTTAAGCTCTGAGTCATGAAGACAAAGACTGAGTGGAGGGGTTCAGCCACCTCCTTGAGCCCCCACAAGGTCCAGGGGCGATGCTGTGGGGTCCTGTATCTGGCATCCCCCATTACCTAGGCTGTTTTGTATGGCCAGTTCTACGCCTAGGTGTCATTTGAAAGGCCAGACCGTGGTCTCCCAGCCAGGAAGCAGAGAGCCTGCCGTGCGGCTCAAATGCCCACCATTCCCTCACTTCCCAGGGGGAAGCAGGTGCACCCGGCAGGTCCCTGTTAGGACAGGGGAGTGTTGGGGGAAGGATCCCAGCAGCCCACTGCTTCTGTCACAGAGTGGCTCCCACCTCCAGCAAGGGAGCTGGATCCTGAAGAGATAGACACGGGACAGGCAGGCTTGTCGGGGTTGGGGGGGGGCGGGGGAGGAAGTCTGGACAAGGCACAGAAGGCAGGGCTCCTATCAGCGGCACCGCTCAGCAAGGCAGGGTGCCGGCCGGGCCAGGACAGATAACAGCCCCGCAGTTGGGGGCAATCCTGGGGTCCCGGGCAAGCCTGGATGGTCAGTCCCCCTGCCCACAGCTCTGGGTGACAAAGGCAACAGAACCAGCCAAGTGCCTTTTTTGGTTTCAATGTGGACCTGCGCTCCATCTAAGAGCCAGCCTGGATCGAGCACGTACTGTGTGCAAGCCATGGGCACAAACTCACTCACTGAGTCTTAAAAACAAACCCAAGGGGCCGGTCTTTTCACAATCCGCACTGTGCAGATGAGGCTCGAAGTGTGAAGTGGCCCAGAACACGTGCCTGGTGGTCCCAGTAGCAAGCGCTCAGGACAGCCGCTGCGGTGGCCTCCCATGCACCCACACAGGACACGGGGGACAGCCAGGCGGGGCCCCAGCAAGGCACCCCGGGGGCTTTCCTCCCTTCACAAGCACTGTTTTGTTTGCTGTGTTGCGGTCCCTGGCCCCCCCCGCCTTCAGTTTCTTCTTAGATTTCGTGCTGGAGGAAGGAGACACGCTCTTCTCAAGATTATAGTCGTAATTCCAGTGAACGGTGCAAAGTGGAATTTGCCGCCTCAGGGGAAGACTTTAATTTAGTTTTAAATTGTTCTTAGCACCTGGGACTTCTCCCTTGGGGTGACTCAGAGGGAGAATCTAGACCAGAGCCAGAAGGTGGATCTCACTGTTTGGAGGACGAGGCGGGTGGGCAGTGGCTGGGGCTGAGGCGCGGATGCGGGCTTGGGGCAGGCCGGCATCCAGAGCCTCAGGCCCGACACCCCTACCCAGGGCCCGGGAGACGTGCTTCCCCTGGGCACGTTCTCCCGATCCGGAGACCTGCCCAGCCTCCTGCTGGGACCATGTGAAGCACCAACGCCCCCTCCCATCCAGGCTCCCTGCCTGCACCCCATTCTGAAGACGGGGAATCTGCAGGACAGAGCCCCCAAATAGCATCGCAGATGTTATTAATGCCGGGGCATCACCAAGCCTCACTCAGCAGGCCTGGTGCACCCAGCTGCCTTCAGAGGCCTGGGAGGGAACGGGAATGAACGGGGTGGAACGGTGACATGCTGGACCTAAGGAGCACTGATACCACACCAGAGCCCTGTGCAGCCAGGGAAACACCGGTGAGCGGGCCCTCCCAGGCCACCGTGGCTGAGGACAGAGCTCACGGGGACAAATGCTTGAGAACCCCATGGCGCAGGCGCAGGAACCAGGAACCAGGAGGCAAGGGGCCAGCGAGCAGTTGCACGAGGACCAGGGCCCGGGCCCGAGACGGAGCACAGTGGGACTGGCAGGGCCGAGGGCCAGGGCTGCTTTCATGGCTGCGGCCAGCCCCAAGCCCCACACCCTGGGGCCCAGCTGTGAGCCTACCCCCGAGAAGTCCCATCCTCACGTGAACAATTCTGAAGGGGGCATGGCTGCATGGAGAGCGTGCTGGGGAGACAGCAAGGCGGGGAGGGCCCAGAGCCTGAGCGTGAGCACCGATTTTGGATCAGGTGCGTTTGCAGTAAATGCGGCACTTGGAAAAACTCTTGGCAACAGGCAGGCTGGTGGCCTTGGCTCCCTCTCTGCTCACATTTCACTTTTAGAACCCAGAATCCAATGTACATGGAAGGAAAATGAGGCCCCGATGCCAGCCCCAGCCCCAAGGGTCCCCCCCGACCCCCGGAAGCTCAGCCCTGCCCCCTACACCTGCCCTGGGCGGTCATCACGGGCACGTGCTCGTGCACATGACCCAATATCCAAGCTGGAGTAAAACAGGCATTCTGGCCAACCTCTGGGTGTGCCCCGAACCCTAGAAAGCAGGAGCCATGGTGCAGGGAGGGCTTCCTCACCCGGTTCCCTCAGGAGCCCCCCAGCTCCTCGCCAGCACCCCCCAACCCCGGCCACTCCTTACCCGACGTGCCAGGACTGCTGGGGCCTCTTGCCATCCTCACTGGCACCGCCCAGCCTGTTGAGCGACGGCGACCGGCTGCGGGGCCCGGGGGCGTAGCTCCCAAGGGTCCTGGCGGCCCCGTCGGGCTTGCCGGGCGTCTGCTGCAGCAGCTGGGGTGAGAGACTGCGGTGGGAGGTGGCAGAGCAGACGGCCCAGTCGGGGGTGCTGGTGTTCAGGTTGTTGTCACTGTTGGAGCGCAGCAGGACCCGGGGGGCGGCCAGCGTGTTGGGTGGCCGCCGCCGGCGGTTGGAGTACGCCGGGGCCTCTCGGAAGGGCACTGGGTCAGAGAGAAGAAGGAGAGGCGGGTGAGTGCATGCATGGCATGGTGGGTGCGCATGGAGCCCCTGCGTGTGCAGAGCCCCTGCGTGTGCAGAGCCCCCTGCGTGTGCAGAGCCCCTGCGTGTGCAGAGCCCCCTGCGTGTGCAGAGCCCCCTGCGTGTGCAGAGCCCCTGCGTGTGCAGAGCCCCCTGTGTGTGCAGAGCCCCTGCGTGTGCAGAGCCCCTGAGCGTGCAGAGCCCCTGAGTGTGCAGGGCCCCCTGCGTGTGCAGAGCCCCTGCGTGTGCAGGGCCCCCTGCGTGTGCAGAGCCCCTGCGTGTGCAGAGCCTGCCGTGTGTGCAGAGCCCACCCCGACACAGAAGCAGAGACGAGGTGGACACTGAGAATGTCTCCATTTCATGGAGGCTCAAGCGAACGCTTGAGATGGAAGGGGCTTGGGGTCCGCCTTCCATCCGGACCAGCGCCTGATCCTTCAGCAGCCGAGACACGTGTGAGGGCCTCACGATGTGGTCGGGACACAGAGTTCCCCCTCGCCACCACCTGAACTTGGCCCCTGGTAGGGGCTGGACCAGGTCCCCCTGAAATTCATGTGTTGGAGCCCTAACCCTTGGTGTCTGAGACCATATCTGGAGCTGGGGCCTTTACAGAGGTGATCAAGGTAACACGGGGTCACCGGGCTCTGATCCAGTGTGACCGGGGTCCTTACAGGAAGAGGGGATCAGGACACAGACCGCCACGGAGGGATGACCCCGTGAGGACCCAGGGAGAGCAAGGCCGTCCACACACGAGAGAGGCCTCAGGGGACCCCGCCCTGCCCGCGCCTGCATCTCAGGTGTCGGCCTCCGGGACCAGGGGACAGTGCGTCCTGCTGTGTGAGCCACCCCATCTCTGGGGCTTTGTCACTGCTGCCCCAGGACACGCACATGGCCTTCTGGGTACCCTTCAGCGGTGGTCTGCTTCAGGACCAAGCATGCTGTTTTCCCCACCCATCAAACTGGGGCCCAACAGCGTGCAACAGGAAGGCACGAGCACACCCCATCTGTCTTCTACTAAGTTCTAGACCACAGGCGAGGCCCTCACTCTGCCGAGTTCAGCGAGCCCAGGGACTCAGAATGAGGACACTGCCCGCAGGGACCGTGAGGACAGGTATCCACACTGCATCCACTCCGGGCTGCTCCGAGGGCTGGAGCCAGAAATAGAAAGTGTCCTTTCTCAGAAGACGCATGTCAAGAACAGTAGCCTTCCAGGCCGCCGGAGAAGGTGCCGATGCCCCTGGAAGCAAGGGACGCGGGCTTCCTTCCAGCGCCTGACCCCCGGGCAGCTTCCCGCTCACTATGGGATCTGCATGCTCCGGAATGAGGCCGAGAGAGCGAGCTCTCGCGTCCGTGCTGCCCGAGGCCAGACCAGCGCTACAGGGCAGCAGAAAGCACGCACCCTCCTGGGTGAGCTGGGCTGGAGTGGGAGTCCTAGTGTCTCGGAGAAGAACATCACGGGTAGTCCAGGACAGAGCCCTGGACAGTCCACCATCCCCGTGCCCAAAGTCAGAGGCTGCAGTGAAGCAAAAGGACAGGTGCACCCTTCCCAGAGCCTGGGCCCCCCATCAACCCCTGGCACTGGCCCGTGACCACGCTGGGCAGCAGAGCGCACCAGGGACAGAGTAGTGCGGGCAGAGATCCCGGGGGCACAGGCGGGCCAACGGGGAGGTAGCACTGGCAAAGAGAGCGCTGGGGGAGCTCCACTGAGGCAGCTGTGACCCAGCGCACCCCCTCACCGCCTCGCCAGGATGCAGGGCAGTCCCAGGAAGGCAGAGATGGAGCCAACCCGGAGAAGCCATGCAGAAATGGCATGGGGCTCAGGACACGCGCTGGGAATCCACGTTCCGAGCCGTTGGTGAGATTCTGTAATGGACATGTCGGAGGTCCTATTTTTTGACCCAAGGCAGCCCGGGCCCATCCTGACCTGCTCCCTCTGGGAAGCCTCCCTGGATGCAGCCAGGGCTCTTCAGCTGCGGCTGGCATCCTGCTCTGAATTCCTCAAAGGACACGAACTCACCAGGGCCAGCCCGGCTGGGAGAGAGGCGGGCGACGGGAAAGGCCGGCGGTGTCCTCCGTGGAGCCCTGGCAAGAGGCTGCCCTCTCAAGGGGCTCAGCCCACCGGGGAATCAGCAAGGCCTAGCCGCACCTGCTAGAAAAACCTCACTTTGGGGAACATCCCTGAGTTTGCATGTTGCTGGTGGTGAGGGAGAACCGCATCGGTCACTCCCTCTGGGCAGACGGAGGCCAGAATGACCCCTGCAAGGACTGAGCACTAAATCCTTTACGGTTTGAAAAATGCACCTGTGGGTGGGTGCTTTGGGGTGACCTGACACCTGCCTGATGATGGGGTGGGGGTAATGAGAGACCTCACAGAGGGCGAATGGCCGCGCAGTCCTAGAGGGTGGAAACCTTTCGTGCACAGAGACAGTCGGCTGGAGGACCGAATCACAGCGAGAAAGCCAACCCCTCCAGCAGACACATTAAGCAGGAAGGGTGATGGGGCCCTGGGCCTCCTGGACCATCCTCCCCGCCCCCACCCCCCGCATCTGAGGAGAGGCCAGGGCTCACGCTACCCGTGGGGAGGGGACACCCCAGCTCCACAGGGACGCTCCCAGACAAGGACACGCGTGCATTTAGTGACATGAACTCCTGACGAGGCAGCTGGGTCTCTTTTTCTGACCGATAGAACTGTAAAGGACTAATGCCCTTAACAGAAATTGGGGGTGGGGAGTCCTGCCGATGCCTAAGACAGACTCATGAGGGGAGAAAGGTCTATGAAAGAACAGAACGGACACCGAATGTTCCCTGCTGTGCACGGGTTCCAAAAAGTGAAGTACCAGAAGATGAATCTGGGTTAATAACGCAAGAAAATGAGCGTGGACAAAGGCTGTTCTTTATATAAATTCCCAAGACGCGGGCTGGAGCCGGCTTTCTGAGCAGGGGGCTTAGGCACTGGTGGGAATTCAGGACTGTTGCCCTGGGAAGATCAAGGGATGGGGGAGCCCTGCCCCTGCCCTGAGGATCAGGTGGGGTACCGAACCGGGATCGCAGAGGTAACGTTAGGGCGAGCATTCAAATGACAATTAGCTCGCTTAATTACCAGGACTCGCATTAAATTAATTCCCCGTGTAAGGTAATTGGAAATTTTTTTCGTGCTTATTTTATGGCTTGGGCTGGCAAGCACCTTCCTAATTCCTCCAAAGTCATGTCTCCACAAACCCGATTTCATAAAGCGAGAGTTCTCTGTCTGACAAAGTAACTAGAGCCATCCATGGAAATGTTGATTTTTTTTTTTTTTTTTGGTGAAAAGGGTAAAAATAACTCTTTTCCTGTCTGAAAATGATTAATATTCCACCCAACTGTTTCCTTCTTTCAGGCAATCTGCAAACTCTAAGTGGGTGGATATTTTCTTAGCTGTCTTCCATGTATTTATTTATACATATTTTTTTTCCACAATAGAAATCACACAAGGTATGACAAAAACCCTATGCACTCTCAGAGTCTGCCACACCGCATCTGCATCCACTCCAGGAAAATGCCACCAGGGGACGGCCAACGAGAGCCAAGGAGTGGCTCGCAGAGCGTCCACCCTGAGCCGGCACAGCCAGCAACGTGTTCCGACCTTCCTCGCTCCCGAGCAGGTGCTCCGCAGCCTCCGGGAAGCAGGCAGACTGAGGCAAAACTTCCTTTATTCTCCCTAGGACTTAGTTCCCAACGTGCCCTCCGGCACGGTCACCATGGAGGCGCATTCCGGAATGCAATGTGCAAGGGGCTGGGGACTTGAGAGGACCGTGAAATAAAACCGCACCTTCGAGTGGGTTAGAATCCCAGACCAACTACAACAAAGCCCGAGGGCGCACCCGAAGTCATTATTCCCTTCCATGATGAGAAGGGACAACCAGCAATTTTGGGAGGGACCAGAGTCCCCCGCTCCCCCAGAACATCAGTCAGAAACTGCTAATTCCCATGCACCACGCTCCCGACAGCTCTTCCTTACCTTCCTTCTTGGTGAAGGCATTTAACAAAGACTTCATTTTCCCTCTGACTTTGGCAGCAGTCCGCTCATTATATAACCTTCTCGGATGGGAGGAAGGAGAGGGGGGCTGCCCGGCCCCTCGGCGCTGGAGCGGCTCGGACCCGGGGAGCGGCGGCGGCGGCGGGCGTCTGGGCACTGCGTGCTTCCGAGCATGGCTGGGCATGCCAGACCCAGCGTGCTGGTGACAAAGCCCACCCCATGTTCTGTCTGTCAGCTGGGAACCAACCGTGCGTAGACTGGGGCTGATCTCAAGCCCTGCTGCTTCTGCCACCACCTGTCATGTGAGCAGTGCTACTCTGCTTTTGTGATCAGTGCATCCGGGAGGAGGGCGAGCACGAGTCAGGCGTCCTCGAGCCCGCGGCCGGGGAACCCCGGAGGCATCCGCGAACCGGAGCCCCAGCCGTCCGAGCCAACTCAGGCTCTGCTCTGGCTGCCTCTGCTCGGATGCGCCGGGCGCGAAATAGAACGCCCCGTGCTTTCCGAATGTTATTTTTAAAGAAAAAGCCAAGTTTTTCTAACGCCGTTTGTTTGTCCGCTGGCAGATGCGGTGAGCGAGTCAAGACGAAACCCCCAGTTCCAGATAAGCCTCACCAAACCAGACCCACATGAACTGGGCAGCCCTCGCCGGCATTCTGGAATTGCTGAGCGTGACCCAGATTTCCGCTGCAAGGAACCAGACACAAGTACCTATTCCTTCTCCGGCTCACCCCATCGTGGTAATTACCCTGGAGGAAACAGGATTTCCTCCCCCCCTTCTCTTCCCTTTCTTTTTTTAAAGAGAGAGAGCACAAACTGCCCCCGAGCCCTGGTTCGCCCTGATTCCAGGCGGCGGATCAGAACGAGTGTCTTCAGAGCCCCTTTGCACGCGTCCTGAGCATTTCCACCCCGAGAGAAGTCTGGGAGACTCCAGGAAAGTCCTATCTGAGGAGC